AATTAATTTATATAGTGTCTAAAATTTACTACAAGTATAATCACAATATCTAATTAAATAATTTAATATATTTCTAATTTTCCTTTCTTTAATGAATTTGGGATCATATTTTTCCAATTTTAAAATCTTAAATTTCCTACTTAGCAATATAATGTCTATATTAAAGGGATTGATGACTAAATTAATTTTAGGCAAAGAAACTGGCTCTTTGTTTGATAGATAAATTTTAAAAATCTTACAGAATGAAAGATAGATAGATATTAATTATAAATGAAAACAAAATTTAAACAAATTTATGAACAATTTATTAATTGAATTTATAATGAATTTATCTTAAAAAATAGTCCTTTATAAATTTAAAAAGAAAATGCTTTATTCAAATTAATTAATATCTCATGTAACTTTAAGTATGAATTTTATATAGAAACTAAAAGTGTAATATGCATTAAAGTAAATCATTGGGGGCGATGTGGTTAATTAGAGGAAATGAACTAATATTCTTAATCTATTTTAAGTTTTTGATATAAGGAAGAATTAAGAAAGAAGTAGATTAAAATATATTTAAAAAATGAAGGAGAAGAAGGTTAGAATGAAAAAATGCTTATTAAACACAATAAAAAAGATTTGGGTTTTTATGAAAAGTAAGAAATAATGAATAATTTCTCCTTAATTAGGTTCCAAAGATCAATATTATAGCTATTTGATGCGAGTCATTTATTCAATTAGTTAATTGCAAATTACTATTAATATTCAACCTGAATTAAAAGATTCTCATATTCATCTCTATCAATAATCTAGTGTATATTCTTATGAGTCCATGATTCTAGACAATACATTAATCCATAAATTACAATATCTTTTTAATATCAGTTTGATGTATCATCTTTATATTAATTTACCTCAATTTTTTATTTGTTTACAAAGCACATGATAGGAATAGCAATCTATTTGGAAGAGACTTGCTAACAATTAACTAAAAATTATTGATATGATTCTATAGGGTCTGAATATCTAATATGAAGTTTCAAAAATTATTGAAGTGATGAAATAAAAATATTGAAAAATATAATTTACAATCTAGTTAAATGAGTATGTGTTTGTGATTCAATTTATTTAGTCGTAGAAAAAAGTAGAATAATTTAGGAAAATTTCTCTTAATTAAGCCACATTCCTTTAACTCATTCAATTACTTTGAATTTTTCTAGTAATAAATTAGATAAAAACATACCATAAAGTCTTATTAATAAATGTAAAACTTATTCTAGTATATTAGAGCTTTCTTATTTTAGAGTGTGCTTTAATTTCCATTAATTCTTACATAACAGAATGTAAATTTTATACAGTATTTATATTTAAAGGATTTATCAATTAATTATAAATATGAGATCAATATCTAATATTTGTTTTTAGAATAAAACAACTATAAATTGAAACTTTTTTTACTCAATTTTTTCATTAAATAACAAAATAAGCAAATCGAATATCATTATATCAAAATAAATAATTTTAATATTTACAAAAAATGTGTACTAGATAAATAAATTATTTATAATAGGATAATTTCGAAACTTAAAAATAACTAAAAAGGACATTTTTTTGGAATTGAAATCATAATAAAATCAGTAAATATAGTAATTAATGATAGATATATGATGTATTTTAAAATAAATTCTTTAATTCTAGTTTCTTTTATTTTTGAAGTATAAATACAAAATCAAGCAGATCAGTATTCTTTATTATTTATCAAATTTCTTATTTCATTTCAATAATATATGATAAGATATTTTTTTAGAAATAAAGAATTATACTGTACCAAAGTATATTATAATATTTTTGAATATCACATTAAGAAACCTTAGAGATAGAAAAAGGAGAATAGAAATAGTCAGGTGAATTTTAAATTCAAAAATAAAATTATTATTTTTCTCATATTTTAAAGAAACTGTAGATTTTAATTATGAAAAAGTGACTATAAAAATAACCACATAAATTTCCAATACCTTTGCTATAAACATAATAAAAACTCTTTAATATCGAAAATTTGAGGCAATAATGTAATTATCACAGTTTTCGAACCTTTATACTCACATTGATAATTTAATAAATTAAATATTAATCTTATAACACAACTTTCGAAGCCTTAAATATTCATTATATATGTTTACAAAAAATCAATGGCATAATTTAACAATGAATAATAGTTAGATATTATGAGATTATACTTCTTTATGTTTATAACCATTGAAAATTGGTTTAGTATAGATTTAAATTATAAATTACTTTTCAGTCACTACAAAGTTTGAACTGTTATTTGAATATTAATTTCAATGTAGTTTTATTTTTAATTTGCTGAATATTTAATCATTTTATATGACTCGTTTTTCTAAGAAATATATATTTTATTTATGAAGCTTTCATAGGATAATATTAATTTAAATGTTTCAAATTAAGACTAATGCAATATTTACCATAGATGAGTATAAGTATGTAATATGAAGAATTCATATAATTTAGAATATAATTCTTCGATTCTCATTTCTTTGAAATGATTTCTGAAATTTTAATATATCAATAATCTTGATGAGCATTTCATTCTTAGTACTTGATTCATCAAATTTAGAGTAAAATTAAAATGTTTTCAAAAGTAGCTTTATTATTTTTCAATTATAAATATTAATAAAATCTTTTAAAGTGATTAAAATTTAATTTATGTTATCTTCAGAGCCATTCCAAAGATTTAGAATTAAATATATATTATAAATTGATAATGTATATAAATAAGAAAAATATATTATTAATATAATAATAAAATGAATATTTTACAATAAAAATAAAATTAAGAGATTTAAGAGACAATATGTAAGATTCATAATTTAGAATTGATTGCAGTTGATTTGGATATGAATGATAAATAATAAATAAATTTTTTTTGTGGTAAATGTTTAGTTGATAAATTAAATAATAATAAAGTAACAACTATTGAATAATCAAAAGAAAGAATATAATAAATTAAGATTTAATAATAAGAAATAAAGACTAAAGAGAATTAAACAAGACTGAATTATTATAAAAATATTTTAGATTAAATAATGGATTTTAAAAGATCAATAGATGATTCTTTAGAAAAGATGTATAAATAAATTTAATAATATATGTTTCCAATTTAAAAGGAGAAATAAGAATTATAAGAAAATTAATATCAATTGAATTATTTTGAAGATATTAAATAATTATCAGAATTATATTCATAAGATTAATAGAAATCAATTAAATTAATAGAAGATAATACTTTTATAGATTAATTAACAAGATAATTTGAATTATTATTTAATAATGCTGAATATTTTTAGACTTTAGATATATTTAAAAATACAAAATAAATAATATAAGATATAATAGAAAATAATATAATTGAATTACAACCATTATAATAAACAAAAAATGAATATGTAAATAATTATTATTTATATTAGAAAACACCAAGTTTAAATAGAATTTGTATAAATCATAAAAAAGAAATTATTATGATTGATATAGATACTTAAAATAAGGAAATAGAAGATAGATTTGTTTGTGTTGATTGTATATCTTAAAATCCATAAATTAAATATGAAACAATTGAAAATGTTAATAAATTATGGATAGATTATAATTCAGAATCTTAAAATATATTATAATAATATAAAAAAGAAATTAAAAATAAAAGATATGATTTATTTAATTAAATTACTTAAATGAGAAAAAATTATAATTAAAAATTAAATGAAATTAGTGATAAATTAATATTAGAATAATAATAATAATAATAATA